CTTCTTCTGAACTGCTGCCTGGAACTCGTATATTCTCCTCTATTGGCAGTCTTGGGGAAGGTTGTGTGTGTGTTAGTGGCAGAGGATGCGTGGCTCTGGTTTTACATGATTTCAGGAGGCCATTCCTATGACCTCAGGATTGGTCTGAAAACATCAGCGCGAAGAGAGGATGGTGGACATGAACAGAGGCAATACTATGCCAGAAATGGAGGGTGGATGGATTGCAAGCATTTGACGTCAGCGATGGTGACAGCTGTTATCGAACCAGAGGGGGAGGGAGAGGCAATATCGAGTAGTTCTTGAAATAGTTGTTTCTTATTGTAGTGGGGGGCGGAAGCATTGTGAGCAAAGGTGATTAAAAGGCAAGAGAGCCGAACAGGGGGTCAATATTTAAGCACCACCTACGTGGTACTTGGCTGTGGGACTAGGTTTAACACCAGTGTGCAGTCGACTGGAAAAAATGAGGTCATCAAGAACAGAATTCTTGGAGGAAGGGGGCTCGGGCACGCAGTTCAGAGGAAGGAAGAAACAGTTGGAGTCGGTCTAGCAGGAAGTAACTGGAATTGGAAGTTTAGGATTTCTAAATTGTTCAAATGGGAAAAAAACCAGATGATTTTTTGGGAAATCCCGCCTGGGCAGTCACATTATCGCATGCGTCCTAGTGGGTTCCATGCTCAGTAGGCCGGGCGGGTCAATCGACCGAAGTGTGGATAAATTCACGGTTATCAGCGTGCCTTTGTAGCACAAATAATTGAGCGTTGACTATACTAAGGCCATCCCTGTTGTTGTGGGATCGACTTGCCTCAATTCAATCATTCAAATATGCAAAGCCCTCCTACTAACAAAAGGTAGGTGGATGACTGTCACTTCGGAAAGGTCTACCATCTGCGTGCTGAGCGGAGGGCTTGGCGCCCATAGCATAAGCCAATATGCGTGATAAGCTGTTTATGGTCTATGACCACGCACAGCAGAAGAAACACGTCTTCGCCTTTGCCAAAGCTAGGGTCCTTGCCCGAGCCAATGACAAATTGGCTAGATTGCTGCTGGAAAATTGGTCTCCGACTAACACAATCAACAGAGCCATAGGCCTCCATCGCACCTATCGGGCGTTGCGCACAAGGCTCCAGTCCGGTTCGAACAAGGTCAGCAGGAAAGCAACATAAACTCGAGTGTAAAATAGAACTAGCTTCGGAGGTAAAAAGGGAGAAGCCTGCCAGGACCCCCATCATCGCCACAACCACGAGGTTGAGATCAACTCAGGCGGGCAGGAACATTCGTCAGTCGACGATGAGCACATCAGCCAGTACGCTGACTTCCGAGAGCCGAAAAGTGAGCAGCGATCACAGGAGCTCATCAGCGATCAATATCTCGGTCAGTCAATATCGATCAGGCAGGTCAAATTTCGTGCACTGAGCCCGGATATAACCACAGGCACGCGGCAAGGCTGCAACAGTTCCGGCAATCAGGAAAAACCACCCAGTTACTCTGACGATGGAACCGAAAGGGTGTCCGAAACGTCAGTCTCAAAATAAAACGGTCAATGACCTCGTAAATTCTTCCTTCTCTTCTTTGGGGGATGGTGATAACAATCTAATGATTGCAGTTTTCGTTTTACATTATGTTTTTTTGTCTTTACGTCCTAATATTCATATAGTTCGCTGTCAAGCTTATGCTTGAATATCTCCAACGATTGACACATTCCAATCGCCCAGGGGCCGGTGCCACGACACGCGTGTACGTATCCCAAATGCCTGCTTCCATCTTCCCTAGAACGCAGGTACTTTTGACTTGCACCATGGAGATTAGTTTTTGTGGTGCCTGGGTTTTCATCGCTCAAACTACGACCTCTATGGAACGTTTTTATCAAGTCTCGGGCACTCAAGTGGTAGAGGTTAAGTATATTTCTGCGGATATTGTGTACCACTGCACCTTTGCATCCCGTTTTTTGTGGCTCGTCTCAGCAACCTTTCGAGCAGGTGTCGCACGTGTTCTTCAGGGGTTTTCGGTCCTGATAGGCATAATTTGCGGTCTTACAAACGTGTTCAATATTTTGGAGTAGAGTTCAACATCGAAACACTAAATACAAGCTTGATGGCAAACGGCAGCGCCAACGTCAGTCTCTAAATAAAACGGTCCATGTCCTCGTACCTTATTCTTCCTCTTCTTTAGGGGATGGCGTAAACGAAATGATATCTGGGCCTCGAATCTTCACGCATATTAAATAATTTTTTTCTGTTATCTCTTTGCACTGCCTGTTATCATTCCGATTTGAATAGGACAAACATAGAGGTCAACCGGCTCTAAACACTTTGACCTGGGCAGCAGATGTTGTTCACTTTACGTATTTAGAGTTGCACCTTGCATTTTGGAAAGAGAATGCATATATCTGGCCGAAAACTTTCTCTTTCCTTGGGTCTGCTGTTATTTGAAACAATAATGCTTTAACTGGGCCGTTCGACCTTGACGGAATTATGAATTTTTAAGTCGCTGATTGTGATTTCTGCGTGCGCAGGCAGGTAACACCAGATTCTAATGCACTTCCATCGGTTAATCAATGTCTATTACTATTCTTTGGCGCTGAAACCTTTACTGCACCCTTACTTATTTTCATATGAACACTATTATATGGAGGATTTTATACCGCAATGATTTTGTGAGAATTTGTTGTCTTTTCAAAATGAATATATGCAGATATTTCTTCCTATGTGCTCTTGAGAAAAACGAACAACAAAGGGGCTCAAAAAATACCCCATATGATAAAAAATGTTATAGCTTAAATTTTCCCTTGGATGAAGGCCTGCGGTGGTCTTGCGCACCTGATGGCCGTCATGGCTGCAGGTCCGCACCGAAACCGTTCGCTCTCAAAATCTCTTCTTTACGAATTTCGCGCGTTCTAGACATTCGCATAAAGTATCCAGTTTTCGAAGGTGCTTTAGGAGCTTACTGTAGTTTTAATTCGTTTAGTCTTATCGCAGTTCAGATTAAACGAAAACTTACCGAGTAATTTCTTGTACCATATAGAAAAGCTACAAGAAAAGCTAGCTTCTAATTTTTTCTTGTTAATGCCCCATGACTCAGCAAGTAAAGTTATCGTTCGCAGTTTTTCTTAAACATGTAAGACAGATAAATTTTCAAAGGAGCGATACAAATAAAATCATCAGCTATTCGGCTAAAATTGCGCAATGTAGGCAAACATGGATTAAATGGGGATTTGACTAGCATTCCAGCACTAGCAGGCGATTGCTTTGGCGCGAAAGTAATCGTGTTCAGTTCGGAAATCACAATACAATAAGTCATGTATACGGATTTCCGGCATATTAAAACACATTTGACCTGAGTTTTGTCTAATATGAACCTTAATTATTCAATAAATAGAAAATATTTCAAGATTTTAGGAGTTTGAATGGGCACAATTTTGAGTTTAATGCAAAGAATTGGCTTTGCACGATCACGCTTATGAACACCTGCCTTCACTCATCGCTAATAAATATACTGTGACCTCTCCAGTTCTCGCACTGTTAATACAGAGACACATGATGGTTGGTAACTATATTTGTGCTTGTACTCACTGCATATCCTGATCAACAAGTTACAGAGACCTTCATAGGGTAGAAAGTTTGAGCATCCGTTGTATTGTTTAAAAATAGGCTCACGTCTTTACATTTTATTTATTTATTATTATTATTATATTGATGTTTTATAAAGTTCTTTACTCCGATGTATTTGAAGATAACTTTGCCTAAAAGCCTAACGTGTTTAACAGTATAACAGTTTCAACTTTTGTCGTTTATTGTTGGATGACTCCCGTAGATCAGGAATATCCTGCTCATTTCTGAATATATAGACCCGATATTTCCTTCACTTGAGTTGTGAGAATTTTGGAGATTTGAACATTTATACAACAACACTTTAGCACTTATCTCCACTCAAGAGATATTTTTAGCGCTCTGCGTGTTTAAGATCTACCCTCTATGTAGCATATTCCTTATTTTCAAAAGTTAGTATGTGATTACGTTTTGTCCTATTTCAGGGAAAATGAGTCGGATATTTTTTGTTTTGTTTTGTTTTATTGTCCAAAACAGTCATTTGTAGAAGATTCTTATTATTGCTGAAGCTGAATATATACGATAACCTTAAATCGACCTCAATGGTCATTGTTTCGTCACGGCTTGATGACTAGGTTATTTTTGGACGTTCTCAAGGCATTACCACATTCTTTTGAGGGTTAGCCCTAAGCCAAAACGGGAAAGGCACCCACACGGGATGAGTGTGTCCTGTAACTAATCGGTGTGCGCCTATCTGCCACTGTAAATTTTTTGATCAAATTTGGCAAGAAGTCGAGCCCCTGTTTCAATGGTTACAGCGTTCGACCTCTAATCAGCGGGTCGCGGGTTTGACCGTCGGATTATGCATCACCGACGCTTGCGTTTGACTGACTGATGAGGGCTAAAGGGCCAAAACAGCCATCCCAGTCCCCTTTGTCTTTGTCAGCAATGTTCATTTACGTATGGTACTGGCCTTTGTGTGGCTGCTGATATGGCTCGAAAATGGGCGTAAGACAGAAAAGGACATGTGAATTCCGTTAGCGCTCTGTGAGCGTTCATCCGTCAGTAACATATTCTTTGATGCCCGATAGTTAGACCGCCGATTTCGAAGATATCCACTAGAGTTTCAACAGATTAAAGTACGCGGTGACTGTGGCTGATTATAGTGAAGGCAAACACGCCGTGTCTACCCCACTCTCTGACCACCCCCGCACCAGGAACCGGTGTAAAGACAGAGTCAAGAAGGCGGGAAATGCGGGAGGGCGCAGACGGCTAGCGCGACAAACACTCACCACGTGCTACGTATGCTCCCGACAGGGAGCGCAGTAAAGGCCACGTTAAGAAGGAGTCATTGAATCTGACTCTCAGCCTGCAGACAGCCACGA